GGCCGGCGCCAGAGTGGGTTTATCACCCACTAGGAGGGGGGCGCGGCGGGCACGCAAAGACGAAGAGGAGTTCGCACCTTCCCGCTTTTGATCCCTGCATTGCCGCGGCCTCCGTTACAGAACACGAGCCTCCAGGGGCACCGTCTGGGAGGTCAGTCGTAATTGGCGGAAGTTTGTAGACCATTAGCAACATGTAGACATTTCAATTCAGAATCCCGCAAACTTTCCTCCACACCCCCCCCCCTTTTCCTAGCGCACTGGAGTGAGGGGTGGAAGCCAGAAGTGGCAAACTGGGGTGACCCCAGGGTTAAGTTAGAGCTACAGTCAAAATAGGCGACTGAAGGGTGTTTGTGTGGGGGGTGACGTGAGGGTCAGAAATTGTTCTCGGTCCATGCTGGAGCCAAAAAACAAGGCCAGATATTTGCATGCAAAGTCAGCGAGCTCGCCTCGCGTTTGCAGAGGAGACCCCGAGGCCAAAATGCTGGGTATCCGTTGCCAAGGTCTCTCTGGCTAGCCCATGGATCCTTAGGGCACTGCGTGGGTGACCGGGGGGGGGGGTCAAACACACCGCAATTCCACAACTATTTTCCTGCACTCCACGCGGGCGCACAGAAATTAACCCTCCAATGCTGGCAAAGCGGATCTCTCAGTTCTAGGGGCTGCTCTGGCTAAAATGGCAAGGCGCAGAGGGGGAGGGGAGCCTTCTGCTTTCAGAGAATCAACGGTGACCTCGGTGGCCCGTGCAGAGAGGGGCCTGGCCTGGCCTCTTGCACACTCGGTGATCTGCAACAGGGAACGGGAAAGGGGTGTTATGAGCCACTGCCTCCTCTTTCGTTTCTCTCCCTCTTCCTTCTTTCTCAACCGTGGACACACGGAGACAGAAGGCTAAGAAGGGGAAAGAAAGGGGAGAGATGGCTAGTCAGACCAAGTTCACAGAACGACTCTATTCTCATTGGCCTCATCAAGAAAGCTTAGTGCTGGCGCCGAATGCTCTTAACCTTGTACATCAATGCATGCGAGACTGGTAAAGCTAGTGGCCTCAAATGTTCTTTCCTATCTGGGCGAGGGAACTGCCCATTCACCCAGTAGCTGCCAGATCGGACTTGCAGTTGGACAGGCAGTGCAGGGTGGGGGATATCGTCAAAGGGAAACTCTAGGAGCAAAGGGTCCACACACAAACACCCAAAGCTTCATCTCTAGGCCCGGAAACCAGCCCCTTTTCTGTTCCCTCTCCTAGCAAAGAAGGTCTTGTCCTAGGAAAACGAAAAACTTTACTAAGATTGCCCTCCACTTAAACTGGGGTGGCCTAGCTCCTCCACCCTCAAACAAGTACTGTGGATTGGGGGAGTTCTCTGACCCCAGCATGGGCTGCGGTAACAGGGTTACCAGATTCAAGTCTCATCAGTCAGTTTGCCCTCTTCCACACCCTGGGATGAACAGGGACCCGAGTCTCCCAACCTTTGGAGTAGAGGGGTGCGTTTCACGGTGTGCTGTACAAATTCGCTCCCGACTTACGCTAAGATAAATTCCCGGGGTGGAGAAGGAACTGAGGCACCAAGAGATAAGTACGATGCCTGAGGAAGATACCAGGCTGGAGCACCTCCCGCAACCAACTCTCCCAGCCCAGGTCCGCAGTTCCCCGGCGAGCGGGCGGGGAGTTGAGGACAGGGGCTTGAGGGAACCAGGCCCACAGTCGCTGCACTCACTTGTTCCAGCGGCTTCGTTTTCTCTACACCCACACCCCCATCGGGGGGAACACCGGTATCCGCAATCCGAATGGAAGAGGAACTGGGCTCAAAAGGGTCAGTAAATGCATTTTTAAAAGACCGAAAAAGCAAAACAAACAAAAACCGAGTCCATATCTCAGAGCGAGTTTAGATTGGGCCGGTGCTCAGGCCTTGTACGTGTTTGCGTGTGTTTTTCCGCGTGGGGCTCGGTCCCAGTGTGTTGGCGCGCTTTCGGGTACAGATACCCAGGGGGCGTTTGGGTCTTTGCACGTAGCTGCGGGCAGGGAGCACGCACCGGGGAGAGAAAAAGATTTGTGAGATTCCATGCGCCGGTGGCTCGGGAAGCCAGAGCACCCAGGCGCAAGAGCTAAAGGACTTGACTTAGAGGCGGCTGGGCGTCTCCACGTGGGGCTGCATAGCTGCGCAAGCGGGGAGCTTTTGTTCACGCGCACTGGCCGTATGGGAGGCTCGGCGGCTGGCTTGGCTAGCCCGGGGCCGTCAAAGGGAAGAAGCTGCAGATCTGCACAGAGAAGCGGTTGCGGGCTAGAGCTGCAGCGCTCAGAGCGCGCGCGAGAGGCGAGCGCCCCTGCCCGGCGCCTCGGTTGCCGGGCAGGCTGCCTGGCTCCCGCCCTCGCTCCCTCCCCCTTCCTCCCTGGCCCTGCCTCCTCCCCGGATCCCCGGGGCTTGGATGGCTGAGGCCTTTCAGACGTAGGCTGAGCTGAGAAGGAGCTGGGGCGAGCTCCTCTGACTACTGCGAACTCTCTTCTGGATCAGCCACCTAGAGGCGACTTTGGTGCGCGCGCGGCGCCCTGGTGGCTCCCCGCCCTCCCCTCTGATCATGTTGACATAAACGCAGGACAGGCCGTAGTACCGCGCGGCGCAGCGACGTTCCAGTTTCCGACACCTTCTTTTTATAACTCGGCTCTATTCCCCCAGCACTCGACCTGTGAAAACCACGCCTATGCAGCCACACAATTGGTCCGAAAGCGTCAAAGAGCCAATCAACAAGCCTCGGGCTCCCGCAGCCCACAGCACAGCCCGACCGTCCAGAGCCGCCGAGCAGACGCCCGGGGAATTCTAGAGGCGGAGGAGGGGGGCGAGGTGCTCGCTCTCTCTCTCTTTCTCTCTCCCTCCCTCTACTCGCCTACTCCAGCTCCCAATCACTCCCGTCTCTCCCTCCTTTCCTATTTTTTTTATTTTATTTTTTGCACCCGTTTTCTCGAACCTCCCTCGCCCTGCGCGCCCGGACGCTGATTTTTTTAATTTATTATTTTTAGGAAAGCGATTTCGCTCACGTTTTTTTAGCACAAGGAAGACAGCCGAGTCCCGAGGCAGAAGATCGCAGGCACCATTCGGATCGCCACCCAGACACTGCGCGCAGCTCGGAGCCAGGCAGAAGAGGAGGAGCGCGAACTGAAGCCAGCTTCGCAGTTACCGTTTTGATAACGTCGCTGGAAAGGGGCTTAAATCAGTTTTTGTTTTTGTTTTTGTTTTTTTCTAAGAGAGACTTTTCCTTCCCCCTTGATCTCGCTCACTGTGAAAGCCAGAGTCTATCTAGCTCAACTAAGACGCCTCCTGCGAGAAAGCCAGAGAAGAGCTAGGGGGCGGGGGAAGGAGACGAAAAAAAGGTTTAAAAAAAAAAAGTCTCGGAGAACCTTGCGCTTTGGCAACAAAGAGCGTGGGAGCCGGGGAGCCACCCCGGGAAAAGGCTGTGTGTCTATTTCCAGCTAAGCCACAGGGCTCGGGCGCCAGTCGAGCCCCTGCTTGCTGCTCGCCCTACTGAAACCGACTTCCAGGAGCGGCTTTTCAAACACACTCCTCGCACCAGGACAGCCCCTGCAGAGGCTATGTCTCCTGATCTGTCGCCGTGCCCTCTTTAAAAGACTCATTCTCTTTCCCCAAAGACACTTTACCCTTCCCTTTCAAAGGCTTTAGTTGTAATTTGTTCCTCTTTATTTTAAACAAAACAAAACTATGTGTTGCTGTTGAATTTTTTTATTGTTTTTGAAAAGCAAAAACAAAAGCGGAGCCAAGCCAGCAGCTGCGGACTGGTTCCCTATCTGGAGTGGATGAGCCTCTCCATGAGAGATCCGGTTATCCCTGGGACAAGCATGGCCTATCATCCGTTCCTACCTCATCGGGCGCCGGACTTCGCCATGAGCGCGGTGCTGGGCCACCAGCCGCCTTTCTTCCCCGCGCTAACGCTGCCTCCCAACGGCGCCGCGGCGCTCTCCCTGCCGGGAGCCCTGGCCAAGCCCATCATGGATCAGTTGGTGGGGGCCGCTGAGACCGGCATTCCATTCTCATCCCTGGGACCCCAGGCGCATCTGAGGCCTCTGAAGACCATAGAACCTGAAGAGGCCGTGGAAGATGACCCCAAGGTGCACCTGGAGGCCAAGGAACTTTGGGACCAGTTTCACAAGCGGGGTACGGAGATGGTCATTACCAAGTCGGGAAGGTAAGACATCAGTGGGGACCCCTCCCCCTCAAACCATCTGAAGTTTTTCGTGTCTTTTTTTTTTTTTTTTTTGGTCTGTCTCTTAAAAACAGTAGTTTCTGCCTGTTTGTTACGTTTGGCACGAAAACTTACCCACCACCACAAATAAATAAATAAATAAATAAATAAAAATTGTAGAGACTCCTGGGCCCTGCCCGAGGGTCAGGAAATTTCAGCCTACCTGGGCCCGCTGCGGGGTTCTTTGGGACCTGCATCCCGCGTTCTGTACAGAATAGAAGGTGTTTTCCATTGAAAGAGACACACACTGACTTCTGCAGCTATGGAGAAAAGCACCCTGTTCCTGAAAGCCCGTTTATAAAGCCATTGTGAAATATCTTTATTTCTGTTTGTTTTTGTCTGTTCCCAGGATAGACACTTAAAGCCCCTCTTGTACGGTAATGGGAGACCGGTGGGGATTCCTCCGGCCCTTTCTGTCTTTCAGTTTAGTTTCTGGGGCTGAAGGCGGCCTAAGCCTGACTGGTCTGGGACAGAGAAATCAATGGGAAGGCGAAGGAGCGAAGGACGTTTGCGTTTCTTTTCCCATGGCCATCTTGCTTGTCTGCAAGCCCAGAGAGAACGGAGCAGGCACTCTTGATAATTAAGGTTATGTTTGTAGACCTGAGGAACCCTGCTTTTGAGCTCGAATAGTATTATTTTACATAACATTTAGTGTCCTTAAGTGACCAAACAAGCTTGTAAGAGAGGACCCTGGGACCAACATTTAAAACCACTGATTTGAGAAAAAAGAAAATGTCTGTAGCATTGAGGTTTATCAGGATACCAGTTGAAAGGGCACGAAAATAAAACCCCCACTTATCCATCTCCCTCCAAACTACTTGAGGCCAAAGTTTGGCATCAGATCTTTCTCCAACCCACAAAACATTTAGTCGGTTTTCATAACTGAGTACTTCCTTTTAAGTCAAAAGTACAGAAAGCCAGCACTTCTGTGAAATTAAACAGCAGGATCTTGCAGTGGCCTACAGAGTAGAGGAATGCGGTTTATAGCTTAAATCACGGATGGGTTACCAGGCCCAGCGCTTGTCTGCCTCCAACCTCCGTTCTGAGAACTCACTGTAATACGTCGCCAGCCTCGGGCTCACCAGTCAGTCCACAACTGGGCATTTATTTCCTCGATAAGCTTTAATGTTTCTCATCAATGGGAGGGTGGAAAATCCTAACCTTTATTAACCACTGTTTCTTAAAACCCTACCTCTAGTTGTTTCAAACTAAATACATTCAGAAAAAGAAAGAAAGACAAAACTTAGGCAAGAATTCATTCCTCTTTACAGAGAGCAATCAATCTAAACAGTCACACAGACAAACATGAGTTTTTTTTTTTGGGGGGTGCATTTTAAAGAAATAGTAGGTCCTTTTAGAGACAAGAGGTTGCTGTAATTGATTTGATTTGAGGCTTGGTATAGGAAAGCAGTGGGAAATTGGGCATTTTTAATGTCAGTGTGGAAGTAAACAATTTTACTCACAGTTGCCCTGTCGCCTCCCTGGTCTGGGCAGAAAGCTTTATGCTTTTAGATGGTGCCAAGTCTGAGGTCCTGAGCCCTGTACCCCATCTTATTTATCTATTTCCCTTTCCTGTGCTCTGCTTTTGTAGGAGAATGTTCCCCCCATTTAAAGTGAGGTGCTCTGGGCTGGATAAAAAGGCCAAGTATATCCTATTGATGGACATTATAGCTGCTGATGACTGTCGATATAAATTTCACAATTCTCGGTGGATGGTGGCCGGTAAGGCAGACCCCGAAATGCCAAAGAGAATGTACATACACCCAGACAGCCCTGCTACGGGGGAGCAGTGGATGTCCAAAGTCGTCACTTTCCACAAACTGAAACTCACCAACAACATATCGGATAAACACGGATTTGTAAGTTTCATTGACTATCAGTAAGACTCTGGGAGGTATGGCTTACTGGTAAACTGAATTTGGGCCCAGGCTCCTCTCTGGCTACTGGTTGTCACATAGAGCCAACTTTGTACAATTTGCAACCTAGTTGCAGAGTGGATTGTGGGTGGGGGTGGTGGGAGGGAGGATCTTGCTCCCTGGATATTGGAAGGCCTGACATTCTAGAAGAATTTACCTGACTAGCAATCAAAGGTCCTGAGTAGGTGCTGGACCTAGATATGTAGAGCAATACTAAGAACAAGTTATGAATCGATTTTTAAAGTTTTGTACTTGGACAGGGTTTGTTTTGCTTAGGAATAATTATTTTATTTCTTTGAAATCAGCCATGTCCTATCTTGGGCAAGTTTAAAATGTTCAAAGCCTTTACTAGGTTAGTCCAAAGCTGTGACTGCATTTTTGAAAGTGTATTTTCTTTTGCTAAAAGTGATTTGGGCTTGGTGAAAGTCAGGTGTAGTAGGAACAAGCTTCAACCTTTGGTGTTGAAAAAAAAAATGTGATCTGTGTGTACTGGGAAACGCATGTAGATTCCGAGAGGGGAGTGAATGTTCTTAGCGACTTTACGGAGACTTGGGTTGCCTGTGAAAGTCAGGCCTGGGGACCTTTGCCTGTTCCCTGCCCCTCCTCAGCATTTCAATAGAATAAACAAAGTGATAAGCGAGGAATAAGCAGAAAGATTAGGCCCAGGAAGACGTGAATGGCTCGGAAATATCTAAAGCGGACAGGGATTGCATTTGAAGCCCTTGATTTGATTAGGGCATAAATATTCCTCTCTAGAGCGCGGCCTCTCAAGGCCTTAAGTGGATTGGGCTTGTCAATTAGTGGGCGCTTAAAGTACTGAATCATTTTGTAAATTAAAATGCATGTTTTTCTCTATCTTTCAAGACTTTGGCCTTCCCAAGCGATCACGCAACCTGGCAGGGGAATTATAGTTTTGGGACCCAGGTAGGCTAGGGTTCAGGGTACGAATGAATATATAGATGGTGAGGGTGGGGTGGGAGGCACGCTTTAGAAGCTGAGGAACAATTTGGAAGTCTCCAGAAAATAACATACTGTGGTGTGAAATGTACCCCAAGGAGGTGGGCTTTGGACCCAGCAGTGGGGACAATGTCAGCTTGGCAAGGGACCTAAGATCTCATTTGTCTTAATAAACCATTTCCCCTCTTTCTTTCTTTCTTTCTTTCTTTCTTTCTTTCTTTCTTTTTCTCTATCTCTTCCTTCTTCCTCCTTTTTTCTTTTTTCTTTTCTTCTTCTTCTTCTTTTTTTTTTTTTTTTTTGGATGTGTGTCCCCCCTCTCTCTGCTTCTACAGACCATACTCAACTCTATGCATAAGTACCAGCCCCGGTTCCACATCGTCAGAGCCAATGATATTTTGAAACTGCCTTATAGTACATTTCGCACATACCTGTTCCCGGAAACAGAATTCATTGCCGTGACTGCCTACCAAAATGACAAGGTAACCCACAGGGCATTTCTATCTACCATTAAGTTTGCTTGCTAGCACTGAGAAAGTCATTAGAACTTTGGACAAAAAGTCCCTGTGTGATTTGACCTTCTAGGGAGAGGACTAATTCCTTGGGGGGGGGGGACAATGGAGGGGGCATGGCAAAATTCTCCTCCCATCTGGGAATCTGATGCTTGTTTAAAACTGCTATTCAGGCCAGTCACTGCCCTGGCCCCAGGGGCTTGTCTCCTGGTGTTTCCTAGTTCATCCTCTAAAAAGGAGAAGGAAGAGAAAGAAAAGGAGAGAGAGAGAGAGAGAGAGAGAGAGAGAGAGAGAGAGAGACCAGTACTGGAAGTAACCAGGTAGCAATTTAAGGTGAAAAAAGTCTGGGACCCTGACTGGAGACTCTGAGTAGAGATTGGCACTCCTCTCATAGCCAAAAATCTTGAATACATGATTTGTTTTAATTACTTTTTATGCTGCTGCTGTTGATAATGGTAACGGTGTATAAAACTACACCCTAACGCAGGGTTATATTGATTGAGCTGTCTGAGACTTCCCACTTAGTGGTGGGAATAGTCACTAGCTCATAGTCACTAGCTTAAAGTTTTTCTTCCTTGGGCCTGAAGCTGGGGACTAAAAAGGGCTTATACCTGGAGTCTGCAGTTCTCCTGGCCGGGAATTCTGGGAAACTGAACACAAGCCCAGAAAAGAGTGTCTAGAGATGGTTCACCAGTATGGAGCATGGCAGCTGTGGGTGGGTGGGGAGGGGTTGAGAACCCCTGTGGCTCTTCGCTTGAGCTCTGGACCTCAGGGAGAGGCCACTTCACCCAGCAACACCTTGTACTTTGAACTCATGGTCAGTCCCTGGTCCCAGTGGACACTGATCCTCACATTTCCTAGTCTGAATGTAAAGTCACCACTATCTTCTTGCCTCATGCAAAACCTGATGTCTGACATCCTTAAATAACAGAACCCCAAACCAAAACCCAGGTTTCCACCTCCTAGTCACTGGATACATATTTTCTCTACCAGACTAGAGTTTAAAGATAACAATCTTTCTTCAAGCAGACTGACTCTTCTAGACCCAGAATCCTGTGAAAGTTACATTGTTACTTTAATGGTTTTAAATAAATCAGAGGCTGAGGGCCTTCTCTGCCTAATAGTGGTGGTGGTGGAGGGGGAGGGGGACAAAAGTAACAAATGAAAACAAATGCTACCAGTGGCCATACCTTTGAAATCACTAAGTCCTCAGTGTTATAATTCCTTCACCTCCTCTCTTGCCTGGTGTGTGTGTGTGGGGGGGGGAGGGTCATTCTAGTGCAAGGTAGTGAAACCCCATAATTAATTTTATTAGATTCACAAAAAAGGTTTTTGTGTATAGGTGTGTGTGTGTGTTTTTTTGTGTGTGTGTGGGGTGTGTGTGTGTGTGTGTGTGTGTGTGTGTGTGTGTGTGTGTGTGTGTGAGACAGTGGTTGGAAAACAGCAGGAAATGGCATTTTAGCATACTTCATAATTAATTGTGCTATATAAAAAAATCAAAACAAGCTTACTAACTCATATTCATAGACTGTGCCTTTTGGCCACATTGGGACAGTCTCGTTTCTAAATCTAAACTGTCCAAAGGAAAGAATTTCTTTGGATAATCTCAGTGTGGAATCCTTGCTTGGCTCCCAAAAACATTAAATGTTACTCCAATCTCTTGATGTTTCAACCCCTTCCTATCTTCCCTCTCACTTTTACTTGGTCCATTCCTGTGATTACTTGGACAGTCATATTTCTAGGAGAGACTGAGGAGTTGGGGGGGCACATTTAGAACATTCTAGAAAGTGAAGCTAATGTCTGTCTTGCTTTGTGTTTTCTCTAGATAACTCAGTTAAAAATAGACAACAATCCTTTTGCAAAAGGTTTTCGGGACACTGGAAATGGCAGGAGAGAAAAAAGGTGAGCTGAGTGAGACTTTAATTTCAGGGATAATAGGGGGAAATTGTTTTCTTAGGCTTGAACTTGAAAGTATTATAAATGTATAATATTTGGATTGGGAAGTATGTCAGGGATGGGGGATGTCAGCTTCTTCCTTCTTGCTCTATGGCCCAGGTAGAGAACATTCTATGCTACTTGTTGTCTTTAAGGGAACTAAGACTACACTGCAGTGCTGGCCAGAAAATGGTCTCAGGGGTAACAGGTAATAGGGATGCCTATTCATTGTTAGTTAATTGACATTTGTCCTGAGCAAGACCCAAGAAGGGACCAAGCCATTCACAAATTCTTCCAGAGTCTTTGCAACTTCCTCTCTCAAATAGCACCATACTGGAGCTGAGGCCCCTTGTGAAATACAGGATGCTTTACCTCCCTCCCTCCTTCCTTTCTGGATCTCTGTATCAATTTTTGCTTTAAATAGACAGACAGTGGCAAGACCATAGAAAAACCTGTGCACCCCACGCTCCTTTTAGAAGATTTTCTACAGGTCCAGAAAAAAAAAATCATCTACCAATTTTTAAAGTTTATTTCTGGGGCTGAGCATTAAAAATGATTTCAAACATTGAAATAAGTGTAAACTCCAATTAATGTGTTAGTAAACAGGTTATAGTTGCATGTACCATGTAATGACTGCTTCCTGCCGATGCAGATGTTTGGTGGGCTGGGTGTTCACAGCACCATCCCTCTGTAAGGCCAGTAGTGTCACTGACCCTGGACAGGACAACTCTAGCTTCTGTCCCAGGGTTTTAAACAAGATTTCCCAGGCCAAGTTCTTTCCTAATGCATAGGCCTCCTCCCAGTTAAACAGTCACGAACAATGCTGGGGTCTGTTTTGCGTGGTCCCAGCACATTTTGTAGACTTCATGTTGGGTAGGGGGTGAGGTGTGTGCCACTCCGGAAAGTGGGAGAAGAAAACAAAGAAGGGAAGTGTATGTGGCATTCTCTAACGATGGGTGTGGGCCTCTGTCTCAGAAAGCAGCTCACCCTGCAATCCATGAGGGTATTTGATGAGAGACACAAGAAGGAGACTGGGACTTCAGACGAGTCCTCCAGTGAGCAGGCAGCCTTCAACTGCTTTGCCCAGGCCTCCTCTCCGGCTGTGTCTACTGTGGGGACATCCAACCTCAAAGGTAAGCTTGGCATCTAATCTGTGATGATTAGACTCCAGGTCTTCTTGGCCTTGAGGCCTTGGAAGTTAGGAAAGGTCCTGAGCCAGTAGACTGACTTCGGAGTTAAGTAGGTTCTTCTAGAGTCTGCAGACAAGAGTCATTTGAAAGTGGGGCTAGCAGAGGAGAACCCAGAAAACGGTGTGTGTGTGTGTGTGTGTGTGTGTGTGTGTGTGTGTGTGTGTGTGTGTGTGTGTCCTTGTCCTCTTGGCAAGGGCAGTTGCACAAAGCACCTGAAGCACTGTCTGTCCTTCATTCCCGACTCCCTTCTGTCTTCTCTTTCCAGTCAACAGTATTCAGGTGCTGGTCAACCTCCAGCTGAATTCTGAGTGAGAATGTGTTAGGCAGGGAGAAGGCCAGGGATTCTCAGCCACCTGGTGCAGGGAAGGTGGTAGACAAAAAGCCACAGCTGATCTGGAGGAGGAGGCGAAGCCCTTAGGGAGGTGGGGGTAGGGGTAGAAAAAGTGGTTTGAATCTTGAGCCAGTTTTCTGTTTAAAGAGCAAGTAGCATTTATTTAGAAAGACAGCTCTCAACGGGAAGAAACCTGTTTTTAAAGTGAAATAAAATGGAAAGCTTTTTTTATGTGTTCAATCCACTTAAGCTTTTAACATAAAGTGGGGTTCATTTTTCTTTTTTGTCTGGTAGGACACCCACAGAGGAGGGTGTGGTGGAAGAGACACTAAAATAAATAAGATCTGATTGTCCACCACCCATCTTTGTAGGAACTGAGGGAACATAGACCACTCTGTGTGTGTGTGTGTGTTTGGGGGGGGGGGCGGTGTTAGTTTCTGCCTGTGCCCATTCAGATGTAAGGATTCTTTCCAAACAAATCAAAACGTTCACAAATTTGTGGAAGCGCCTGACCTCCCTTGCTCCCCCAGCCAAAGACTCTGAAGGTGACAGGAATGTATTCCAGCAGAGTTCTGAGGTCTCATCTTTAAAAAGCGAATTTGCAATCCAATGGGAGAAATGCAAGAGAAAGTTTTGACTGAGTTGTAGCTTTCTTTCTGGTTTTGTTTTGTTTTAATGGAGAATCATTACAATAAGAAAAGCTGTCCATTGGGGGCCTGGCTGGAAGAGGTTGAGCCCTGTCTTAACACTTGTGATGTTTCTTGAATTTAACTGTAAAAGTGTTGCATCATTCCCATTTTACAGAGAGGAAAAAACGGAGGCTGGGAGTGGTTTGAGTCGGGGTTACACAACCAATAAGCGGCCCATTGGGAATCTTGTTTTGGAGATAGTCTCACTCCAGGCTGTACCTTCGATGCCTCACTATTGGCATGCCAGGAGTTGTGCCACGGCGCCGGGCTGGGAGGTGGAGTTTAAACTAGGAAACAAGATTCACCGCCGGTTCCCCTGGCGTTTTCCTCTCTTCCCCAAGATGCGTGTCCCAGCGAAGCCGAAAGTGACGCCGAGGCCGAAAGCAAGGAGGAGCACGGCACCGAGGCCTGCGACGCTGCTAAGATTTCCACCACCACCGCGGAGGAGCCAGGCCGAGACAAGGGCAGCCCGGCCACCAGGGCGCAACTGTTCCCCGCGGAACCCGGCCGGGCCAGAGACACCGCGCGGCTGGACAAGGCATCGCCAGATTCGCGCCACAGCCCGGCCACCATCTCATCCAGCACGCGCGTCCCGGGAGCCGAGGAGCGCAGGAGCCCCGGACGCGAAGGTCCAGGCGCTGCCAAGGTGGATGAGGCGCGCCCACTGCCCACCAAGGACGCCTTCGCGCCACTGTCAGTGCAGACCGACGCCGCCGCGCACCTGGCGCAGGGGCCCCTTCCAGGCTTGGGTTTTGCCCCAGGCCTAGCCGGCCAGCAGTTCTTCAACGGGCACCCCCTCTTCTTGCACCCCAGCCAGTTCGCCATGGGCGGCGCCTTCTCCAGCATGGCTGCGGGCATGGGGCCCCTGCTGGCCACAGTTTCCGGGGCATCCCCCGGCCTCCCGGGCCTGGATTCCACAGCCATGGCCTCCGCTGCCGCAGCGCAGGGACTGTCCGGGGCTTCGGCTGCCACCCTGCCCTTCCATCTTCAACAACATGTTCTGGCCTCCCAGGTATTCCTGTCTGACCTTCCATCCTTGACCTCACTCTAGTGTCTCTCAGTCCCAGTCAGTCCCTTGCCTAGGACCGTTAAGGCAGTGATTCATGCTAGTAACCATTAGAATATTTTATTGACCCTTTGCTGGGTGTTGCAACTATCTCACTGAGCCATCGTGACCACCTCACCCCCTAAAGTCCCCCTTAAACTGCTTCCTGTAGGTTAGTCTGGGCATGGCTAAATTCCACACTACTTAACATTGTGACAAGTTGGAATCATTTGATGTATCATCTCTGGCCCAGAGATGTTGAATCCCTTGACTCCCACCCCCCCCCCCCCCCCCCCCCCAGTAGAGCTTGAGCCTGTCTGACTCACCGGGACTCTTTGATTTCATCTTTGAGCCAACATGTTTCTCTGGAGGCTCCTAACCACTATTCCCCCAGGAACGGACTGAGGTGTGGGGAGGGGAAGTGACTGACTCCCTGGGTGAGAATTTGGTCTGGAGTCAGCCAGCCTTCCACCTAGTTCAAAGCTTTTCTCCCCACCCCCACCCCAAACAGGCCAGCGGGACAGCCTATCTCCAAAGGGTTAATGGGTTGTGCACACGTGGGAAATGTCAAAGGAGAGGGGGACTGGCTGTGGCAGGCCTGTGTGTGTGGTTCAGACAGCTGTGCCCCGGCACTAAGGGGCTGAAGAGAAAGCTCTGAACCCGGTGGGAAGCCTCTCTGGGGTTTTTCGCCCTATTCTGACCTTTTGTTTTGTCTGAGCACATTCGTCTCCCTTGCCAGAGCCAAAAGGCACATAGCCCTCCCCATAGGGGAGGAGGAAGCTGAGACAAAACGGGCTAGCTTCTAACTTACTTCCAACCCTCCTACCTCAAGGCTGGTCTCCCCAGACAGGCAGGTGACAGGTGGAGGAGGGTCATCCTGAACAGACAAGTCTAGACTTTTTCCAGGCAAAGGACACACCCTGGGCTCTTGCATGCAAATTCTGCTTCTGTATGGGTTCCTCTCCCATTCCCTGATCTGCCTCAGTCTCCCACCTGAGTGAGAGACAGCCTCAGAGGCTGGGTGCTTGCTGTCTTTATTAATAATTAACACCTTTTCACCCCTCCTCCATTTCCTTTCATATCATCCTTATTTTTTTCCAACTTGGGAAAGATCTAGAAGGGTAAAATTGAAGATTTTATGATAATGTGTGCACCAGAGTTTAACTCTAGTCCCTTTGGTGGAGGCCCTCCCGGAGTCCACTCAACAGGTGCAGCTGTTGGCCCTCATGGAAACTTGCTAATAGGCCCAAGGGTCAGGCACCATGGATGACATATTGCAGAAGATTTAATAGCCACGAAGTTCCCAGGATGTTAACCCCTTGGTTTAACATATAAGGGATCTGTAGCCTAGGGTAACAGAGCTGAATGGAAAGTATTGCCCCCAACTCCTCCAAGAGAGGTGGTTTGCCCCAGATAGCACGAGGTGGGTGAGAGGGGTCCCCCACTCTCTGACTCCCTATGTTTCTTCTCTTCCTTCCCCAGGGCTTGGCCATGTCGCCTTTTGGGAGCCTCTTTCCTTACCCCTACACATACATGGCAGCTGCAGCTGCGGCTTCCTCAGCGGCCGCCTCCAGTTCCGTGCACCGCCATCCGTTCCTCAACTTGAACAGCATGCGCCCCAGGCTGCGTTACAGTCCATATTCCATCCCGGTTCCAGTACCTGATAGCAGCAGCCTGCTGGCCACTGCGTTGCCATCTATGGCTTCCGCCGCAGGGCCCCTAGACGCCAAGGCAGCCGCCCTGGCGGCCAGCCCGGCCTCGGTGGCTGTGGACTCGGGGTCGGAACTGAACAGCCGCTCCTCCACGCTGTCCTCCAGCTCAGTGTCCTTGTCACCCAAACTCTGCTCAGAGAAGGAGGCAGCTACCAGTGAACTGCAGAGCATCCAGCGGCTGGTCAGTGGCTTGGAAGCCAAGCCGGACAGGTCCTGCAGCGGGTCCCCTTAAAAACAAAAACAAAAACAAAAACAAAAACAAAATGCTCCCCCCAAAGGTCTCTCCATTCCAGATCGGTCAAATCTGCCAGTGCACTTTGTTGGACCTAAAATAAACCACAGGCCTTCCACGTGGGGTGATAACCCATCCTTTGAGTTTTGTCTGGGAAGGAGCTCCACGCTCCTTCCAAAGAACCACAGGCCTTGTCTTCCTGAGCTGTGGAAACAGGCTGCTGTTGCATTGAGACGCGGGGGTGGGGGTGGAGGGCAAACTGGCTTTTGTGTCTAGAATGACTTCTGTGGAGGCTGCTGTGGAAGCTGGGGCTGAAGAACAAGGTAATCAGGCCGGCCAGGAGAGTGGGTGTCTGAGAGACTGCACCCAAATCTCTTTCTTTCCCCCTTGTGTGTCAAGTGGAAACAAAAATAATTTTTCCCTAAACTAACAAACAAACCCCAAACGGGGACAAATGAAGTCCCCGTGGAACTGTCTCTGAAGACTGAAAACTCAATCACTTGCTGAGTACCCTTGCTGAGGAAGGGAGAAGGCCTTGTCCTTGCTTGGTCTATATTAAAGGAATCCTGTGTCTTTTTAATATCGTGAAGTTTTAAAGGAGGATACCGGTCTTTTTTGCATGTTACAGTTTTCTGGGTTTTATTTTTGGATGTTTTTTTGGCTTTCACGGAAAAACAACGAAAACCCTGTCAGCCTCAACCCTGCTCCAATCGGCAACCCCCGAGGAAGTGGGGGGTGGGGCGGGGTGGGGATAAAAGGGAAGCAATGGGAATGAAATCAACTGAGTTTATTTTATCTAAGCGCTGTAGAGGGCTTCGTGTGCCTGTTGGACCATTAGTTCTCTTAACTGTATATGCAATAACAAGGTTTTAAAAGAAATAATAAAGAGGAAACACGACTATTGGACAAAGTATTTATGTAATTATTTGATATCTCTTGTAAATAGGTGGAATATGACCGCTCAGAAAGTTAAACTTTAATTTATTGAATTGTACATAGCTGGATGTAAATATAGGAGTGTGTCTGTCAGGTTTTATTCTTGTTTTGCCTTTTGGTTTTTATTTCCAGGTCGGGAGATGGCTAATTCATACTAACGAGCATAGGCTTCTGTGCCTCCATTTATATGCTTTCAAGTAGAGCTGGCTGCAATTTTTTTTAAGTGTCCAAGAACCGGTGGAGGAGGGGCGGGGTTGGAAATACTGTTTCCTATTTTCACCAAAATTGGGGAGGTATTGGCCCTTCCAGGCTCCACTTGAAATGTCCTAAACTCTGGCAGAGGTTAAGATTTCGTGGGAGCAGAGGCCTCCATTTAAAACCCACCCAAGTGTTCATACTCAGTCGGCTCTGGCATCTTCTAACCCAAGTGAGATTTTCTTGTCATTGTTCATCTTGACGGTGTTTTGGATTGGTGTACAGAGAAGGACTCGTTCACACAACCATGAAAGGCAAAACAAACTAAAAAACTAAAAAAAAAAAAAAAAAAAAACCATGAAGGCATATTTTGTGTTTAGTCCTTGATGAGTTTTCTGTAATTCTCCTTAAAAACATCAGTGAAATTTCAATAAATTTTTATTGAAATGAGTTTTGAAGTTGTGTTAATGATTTCTTCAAGAGTGTCTCTCGAAGCTGGAAAATTAAAAGGAGATGATCTTCCTGCCTGCTCTCCTTTCGTCTTTAAATAATAATTAAGACCACCCCATCCCCCAGCAAACCAAAATGAGATGTCACTCAAATTACAAAGCTGAAAACAAAAAGTCCCTTGCTCCTGCGAAGGGGGCCACATCGATCTGAAAATATTTTCCCTTTAATTTAGGGAACCGGAGGGGAAAGGGGCCTGATTAAATTTCATAAATAGGAACTTCATATACTTCAGTTTTAATAGGGGAAGATTTACCCTGTGTTCAAAGTCGCCACCCCCCCCCCCCAGGAATCCGACCAGAAATAAGCTGGGAGCGCTAAGAAGGGTTTTCGTTTTTAATTCTTCTTGATCACAAAATAAATAAATTCTCCCTACATCCCGCGAATCTGGCACGGGGAAAAGGCTAAGCCATGTCCCTTGTCCATGGACATTCAGGGTTGGGACAAGGCCAGGGAGGGTACTCAACCCACCCCACAGTGTGCGCACTTAGCTTGATCAGGAGAGGAAAGGTAATTCGGGAGCCCAATGGACCCTCCAAGGCAAAATTCACTCAGGAAGCTAGTATCACCCCGCCCCCTCTCCACTCTTCCCTTAACCCGAGGTAGTTAGGCAAGTTATCTTTTTGAAGTTCAATTTATCTTTGAATCTTCCAATAAAAATAAATGGTGGAACCTCTGTCAATCTTTTGGTCTCCCTATCCTCCAGGCTCCTCTGGGGGCGGGCAGGCGTATGTTCTCTAAAGTTAGCCCTTAGGACTTCTTGCCCTGGGGGCCTTGACTCAAAGACCTAGCCGGAGCCTGCCTGGCGGCTGGCTGCCCCCCACCATGAGGCCCCCCAGCAGGGCCTTCTGTCCCTGTCACCTTCAGGCCTCTTGAACAGACAGACATGAGGGGGCCCCCTCTCCTCCCTCCTTATGGGTTTGGAAGAGAACCCAGCTCTAGACCTTTAGAGGGGTGGGCAACCCCCCTTTTCGAGCCCAGACACGTGGGGACCCCCACCCCCGCAACCCACCCCCCCCCCCCCCAGCCAGCTGTCTAGGGAGGAGGAGAAAACGACTAGAGAGCCGAGATTGGAGAGTGCTTAGGGGACCAGGGGACCAGAGAGGCCTTCTTCCCCGGGATCAAAACTCTGGCTGTCCGCTTGGGGAAGGTGGTGGTTGGCTCATGGCCTCCCGCTGCGCGAGCTCCCAAATTGGGGAGAAAATAGCTCGGTTTCAAATGTGGAGAAAGCAGAAACTGAACCAAACCAAACAGAATTTGCTTGGTTTTCTCAGTCAGATTTTCTCTTCTCTTCCCTTCTCCATGCCCCAAATTTGGGGACAGTGCCCAAACCTGTCCCCGGCCCCTCCTAGGGCTTCCTTCCTCCCTCCCTTCTTTTCTTTCGTCTTCTTTATAATCTCCTCTGTATCTTATTTATATATAGTGCTGTTAATGTATAACTCTTGTGGCGCTGATGGACCGGGGGTGACCCGCTCACAATCTCTCTGGATTTCTGTGCCTATTACTCACCTGGCGCCGGTCGCAATCTCGGGGGGGGCTTTATGGTGGTGGTGGCGGCGGCGGCCGGGGCCACCCGGGGGCGGGGCCCGGGGGTTTTTTTTTTTTTTTTTTTTCCCTCTCCCAGGCTTCGAGTGCCACCTATCTGTCTGACCCACGAATGCGCCCTGCCTAACAGCGGCTAACTGGATATTCCAGAGCCTTTGGGTGTCCGGAACTTGAGGGCTTTACCTTAGCACCCCTTCTCACGGAACCACCCTTCACCCCCCCTATCCTCCCCACTGACACCCAGCCCCACCCCCACCTCACCTCCTCACCCCTTTCATTCCTGTTTTGGCCTCAGATGAGATTTCCAAGGGATTTTTGAAAATTCAACGAGGGACCTTGGTTCCTTACAGGAGGCAGTAACCTGGATGGAGGCGTTGCAGATAAAAAGAGACCCCCTCCCCTCGAATTCTACCCACATAGACTCAACTCGAACTAACATCTTCCGAGATGTTCGGTTTTTTTGTACTATATAAACTCTTAATTTGGGGGTTTTCTTTTTTCTTCTGGCCGCGTCTGCGGGGACAAAGGACGACCAGAATTTCTGGAACCACCAGGCCTTTTTGGCCCCCTGGAGTGGTCAGATGCTGCGGCCTGAAGGGCTGAGCTGCTTGCAGATCGGTGTGTATACAGGTGATGAATGCGGGTACTGGCCAGAGCCCTCCGGGCGACTGCCCGCCCGTGGGGAAGATCGGCTCCAGGCTGCGCTGGCGTCTGAGACCCTACGGGAGGGGCCGGGGTCACCTTTGCTGGTCTTTGAGCTGCGGGTAGAGGCGTCCGAGTTCTTCCTGACCTCCCGGCGCTAATTGCAGGGGCCGAAGGGCGCGCTTGGGCACAGGCAGGGGTC